CTCACCCGCCCAGGAGGAGGGAGGAGGGCGGGAGATCTCCTCCCCGTCCGCCTCTTCCTCATCACGCGGCACCTGTCCACTCCTGCTCGTCATTCTACTCCTGCCCACTGCTGCTCACTGCTGCTCCTCGCTCCTCGTCTCCGCCCTGTCCCCTCCCTCCGGGCCTACGATGGAAGGGGAAGGGGGGAGCAGCGAGGAAGATGGGGGGGACAGGGAGGAGGGACGAGGAGAATGGCACGGAGTGGGAGTGCCAGAGTGGCCTTCCGTTGCCTGGCGAGACTGTTTCGTGCGTCCTAGGCCGGCCCCCCTCGTCGCGCGCATTCTTCGGACACCGCCTCCCCTGAAATTGCTCCATGGCGGGTTGTCTGGCCTCCAGACAGCCAGGATGGCCTCTAAGATGGCTTCCAAGACAGCCAAGATGACACGAAGGCGGCCAGTGATTGAAGAAGTGCGAGGTTCTCGCCTGGTTGGATTTTCGACCGCCCAAGACGGCCCCAGAGGCCCCCAACGCAGCTGCCAACGAGGCCCCCCAATGGGAGACCCAAGTCGTCCCAAGAAGGCTCGAAGATCGCCCAACATCCTCCCAAGCGGGCCCAACGACGACCATGACGCGCTTGAAGAGAGGGTACCGAGACGGCCCAGAGAGGCCTCGAAGACGGCCGCAGACGGCGTCAGACGGGCTAAGAGACGACCAAAGAGGCCCAAAGAGGCCCCAGAGGCCAACGAGGAGGCGAATCCAGTCAACCCGTATAGCAAGGATGCGCGAGAAGGATGCAAGGCCCTTGGAAGCCTATTTCGAAGTTTTCGCGCGGGGCGCGGCCAACGAACGTGGCCAAGGATGCACCGAGGATGCAAGGATGCAATGGTACCCTTGGGAAGGTTGCCCATCGTTCCTATGCGGGTTGACTGTAGCATGTTTGTTCCCATGATGTTTCCATGGTTGAAATTCTCGCGTGGCTGGGTTTCCGACCACCCAAGGCGGCCCAAGCGGCCTCAATAATAGCTCCAAGACAGCCAATGAGGCCATGGAAGAGGGCTCCAAATCGGCCCGATAGGGCCCCAAGATCTCGCAAGAGCCCCCAACAATTCACCAAAGAGGCCCTCAGCAAGCTCCCAGGAAGCCCTCAGAGAGCCCATAGGAGGCCTCCCCCTCCTTGTCTTCATGTCCCCCTCTCCTCCTCCTCCTCCTCCTCCTCCTTCGCTCTACCGCGCGGACGAAGATAAAGTCGAGTCCCCGACCCGCCTCAATCCAGACCGCTCGCTTAACGGCAGCGGGGTGTGAGCTTGACCTCCCCCCTACCGCGCGGACGACGATGAGGTCGCACGACCCGTCTCAGTTCTGAACGTTCGTCAGAATTGCGCAGTTCCTGCACTCAGCCTCCTTCGTGCTGCGCTGTTGCGCAAGCAGATTGCGGGGTTTGCCGCAGGCAGCTGCTTGTGGAGAAACACACGTCGGAGAAGGGAGGAATGGGGGAGGAGGAGGCCGCCCTCCTCCACGCTCCGACCTCCCCCTCTTCCACCTCCCTGTTCCCACCTCCCTCCTGGAGGGGGAATCGAATCCAGACGCTAGACGTCGTAATTGTTTCGAGGCGTGGCCACCAGACCTCGACCCATCTCTGGGGACAGGTTTCACGTCGCAGATCGCTGTGGATCTCACGGGGTTGGGCCGAAACAACAGGAAACTATGAGTATTACGCGTGTCGGCTCGAAGCCCAGACAGTGAGTCCGTGCACTCTGGATACACAACGAACGTGATGGATGCAATCTATGTGATGCAACACGCGCGTTGCAATCCATGTAGTGCTATTGAATGTGACAACCTCCAGCGCTCGTGCAACCCTCCCACCCAACTACCCGAAACTTGCTGGTGAATCCCAACTGGGCGGCGACAGCGATGACGACGATCACGATGGAAATGTTCATGACGACGGCGATGACGATGCAGACAACGACAATGGTGATGTAACAGCTGGCGATCCCAATGACAACGACAATGATGACGCTGGCGCTGGTGATGGCGATGGTGGGGATGAGGATGATTACAAAGTGCACGCTCGCAGGAAAATCGAAGATCCTGAAAACTGGAATTGAAAGCCCCTGTGTTTCTGCACGCGTGCTTGAACACAGATACGCTGGCATGCCGAGAAAAACCATATGTTTGGACGGCGTTCGAGGTGTGCGCGAGCGCAGAAACGAGCGCGCATTGCCAATTATTTCGCAGATTTGGCGCTTCGACAGTTAACAACCGAAGCGCCTACCAAACAGTTATCATGTAACTATCAGTCTGCGATTAACGATGGAGCAGCGAACGTCCTCAAGAGACTGGTCGAACTGTCCTACAAGTTGGTTGCGGGACGCCAGCCCCGCTTTTCGGGAGGAGGCTTCTTCAGCAGATGCTCGACTGCCTTAACCGACCACGGGCGATAATGAACCCCCTGGGATGATAAAATTCGCGGTTCTGGCGGGGATAATACAAGATGTTCCCAGGGAAGGTAAAGTATGATGATGATGGTGGCGACGATGACGATGATGATGGTGATGACGGCACAAGACTCACTCGAGAGATCTCGAGGCTCCTGACTAGTCTGGCGCAAGACGCAAGGCTGACCCGAGCGATCTCGAGGCTCGTGGCTAAGCAGGCGCCTACATGTTGCCAGCGCAAGAGAGGTCCTTGGCCGATCTGGCCAAGAAGCCCGTCTTGCGCTGGATTTCGAACCACTCTCCCATGCAAGGTCCTTGCAAGGCCCAAAGATGGGCTGCAGTGGCGCAAGGTCCTTGTAAGGCACAGAAATGGGCCGAAGTGGCAAGAATGCAAGGGTATAGCAAAATTGCTCATCCCTACCACGCGGGTTGATTGCCATATTACTAATAGGAGCACAAGCAGGAAGAGAGGAATAATAATGGTGGGGGAGGGAAGAAAGAAATGGCCCCAGGATCGACTTTGAAAAACAATTGGGGTCGGGGACTTCGGTTTTTTTCATGTGTGAAAACATTAGTTTAATCGTTTTCCAGGATCGCATAGGGATAAAGCCCCGGAGATGCAAAAACAAGTTCGGCCCCTGGGGTGGGGGGGTAGGCAGAAGGAGGAGAAAGCGAAAAGGAAGAGACGCAAAAGGAAAACAACGCTTTTCTGAAGGAAGGAAGAGAAGGCAAGGCTTTCCTGAAGCTGTTGCCAGTCAGCACGGAGCGATTGCAACTTCGAGCCGAAACATAAAGGAAGGAGAGCATAATGACAAAACAAATAAGATAACAACTGAAGAACATGATAATCCCATGGCCCTGCCGCACGTTCGTACCGTGGGCAAACTGAACTGGTGAGAATCCCACAGCCCTGCCACACGCTCGTGATTGCGGAAGCTGGTGTGGTGAGACCACCATGGCCACGCTCAGCGTTTTTGATGCTGCTACTAATCAACATGATATGATAGCAACTTCGATCCCCGCAACTTTCCCGTGGATTATAAAGTTCGGCCTCCGCGCCTTCCTCCACAATTGACTCCCATGGGCCGGAGGTTAAAAAACACTCGGGGGATAAAGGGGGGTGTACTTTATTATCGCCCGTGGTCGGTTGCCTGGCCCGCGCGTTGTGGTTATGTGGCGTTTTCGACAACGGCGGGCGTGCGACCCGAACGCTCTCATGTGACAGGATGGCCAAACACGTACAGCTGTCTCCTGAGTTCAACGAGTACACGCGCATATGTGTGGCAAGTTTGTACTCTGACGAACCAACACCTCCTGACAGCTTACACCATATATGCTTGGAGGCTGCAAGAAAACGATCCGCGTTGGACTGATGCTGGCATGCGCGCAGGGGGGGAGGGGAGCGCGCGCGCGCGCTCCCCATCATGCGGATCCGCACCGGGTTATTAAGGAGTACATGCTGAACCAATGCGCACGCACGGCGTGAAATTATTTGGAGAAGATGAGGAAAGGCGATGCCGGGGCCGGCCGAAGCACGACGCCCGACGAAAATAACCAAAGTTTGCTTGGCAACACCCGGTGGGCACATCTTGCTACCACGTGCTACTCGCGTTGGCGACAGCTAAGCAGAGGAAGGTGCCCCGGAAAAGTAATTCGAGCGAAGGGGGGGGCAAGGGGGGGGGGGGGGGGGGGGGGCCCCCCCAAACAGAGAGCCTACGGAGTCTGGGGTACCCCTGTCTGACACGGTCCTTGGAGATACCCATCTATTTTCACGCCTTCAAACTTCCCGTGCGCGCGCTGACGGGCTGCTTACTTATATCTGGTGGGGAGCATGTTGCTACCGCGTGCTGCTCGTCTTGGCAACAGCTACGCAAGGAAAAGTGCCAATATCCCAAAAGGTACAGTGGGCGGGTGTGGAAGGCCACGTCAGCTCGGCTGCCCCACGGTCCCTCTGGCGGCTGGGCGGGCAGCTTGCGATGCAAGCGGCCACCTTGGAAAGGGGGGGGGGGGGGGGCAACGGCCGAGGTCCACGTGACCCCGTGGGCGCCTTCCTCTGAAGGATTAGATGGGGCTCCCTCGAGGCCGAGCACGAACCGCCGCGCTGTAACATTGCGCTCCAGTTTGGATGCGTCCTCAAGGCGCACTTTAAAAAGATTGTCAGCTTCCGCCAGCGGACCCCGAATTGGCGCTGGTCGGCCACTCTGACGTGGGCCTGCGACTTAGTGGCCACACAGAGAAGATCGGGAGTGCGTCAGATGCCGCTGCTCATGGGGGGGCGCCAAGACAAACGAGACATCGGCACGGGCGAGGGCCCGCATCAACTTCAAAGCAGCTCTGAAGGCGGCGCCCCCTGCCAGAATCCCATCGCGCGTGCCCGCTCGCGTCGGGGAGGCCGCGGGGAAGCGCGGCCAATCTGCCTGGCTGGTAGCCTCGGTCGGCCGCGGCGCCCCGGGTGACGCATGGGGGGCCGTGGCGCGCAGCAGTGACTTCTCTCTCTTAACCGATCTCTCTGCGGCATGCTCATCGGCGGGCTTCGTCAGATCCTCGTTTGGCCCATGCTGGCTGCCATATCCACGGTA